GGGGGGGGGGAGGGAGGGAGGCGGGGGGCGGCGGGCGGGGGAGAGGGAGAGGGAGGGGAGAGGCAGGGGGACGGGAGAGAGGGGAGAGGCAGGAGGGAAGAGAGAGGGGGGAGAGCGAGAGGAGCAGGGGAGAACACGGTCGAGGCGGACGTCTGGCCGAGGGGCGCGAAGCAGTGGGGGGCGCGGGATGGGGGGCCCACGAGGGCCGCAGGAGGGGGGCCCCTTCTGGGGCCCGAAGATGGCACCTCTCTTCCCCCCGTGAGCTCACTCCCGCCCAGGCCGGGGCGCCCACTGGTTTTGGGTCGGGCATGTCCCCCTACAGGCGAGTCCTGGACGAGAAAGGAAAGACAGTCAAAAAAAAACAAAATTGCAGCAGCAACAACAACAACAACAACAACAACAACAACAACAAAACAAAAAAAAAAAAAAAAAAAAAAAAAAAAAAACATGGTCGCACAGAAAATCGTCCCCTGACTATGTTTTGACTATTCGTGAGTGCTCCTCCTGTGGAGGGACATGCCCGACTCAACATCAGCTCTTCCCCCGAGCGCCCAGGGACGAGGCCTCTCCGCGGTGGCGGTCTCGGCTGACGTCGGCACGCCCAGAGTGCGAGGCGGGGATTTATCCATACCCACCGCCTGGCCCAGAGGCCCCGAGATAGAGGAAAAAGAACCATGCACATACACCGATTTTGGCCAGGCCCATCCCGAGCCCAAGATCGGTGCATACGCCCTCCTGCCTTGGCCAGGAAGGCATATGCACCGATCCTGGGGCCAAGGATGGGCCTGGCCAAGACTGGTGCATGTGCACAGTTCTCTTCGCCCGACCGAGAGGAGGACGAAGAGGGCGCCCAGGGAGGAGGCCTCTCCGCGGCGGCGGTCTCGGCTGACTTCGGAACACGCCCAGAGTGCGAGGCGGGGGATCGTATCCACATCCACTGCCTGGGAGCCGACGTCCTGGTGCCCCAGCGGGCGGCGGATGTGGACACATGTCGGCCCCACGGGGGCCCGAGGAGGTCCATATCCACTGCCTGCCGAGGCTCCAGGTCCATATCCACCAGAGAATGTGTGCTCGGGGCCCCCAAACGGGGTGGTGACCACGCCGTGCGGCGAGTCGGTGGGGATTCGGGGGGGTCACCGCACGGTTTTGGGACCCGGGTCGTTCTCCGAGGACGTCTCGGGCGACTGGGGCATCCGAGGTCCCAAAACCGTGCGTCGACGGACCGTGCGGTGAGGTCTTGGGGGATTTCGAAGTCGCCGCACGGTCTGTCACAGCACTGTTTGAGAATGTGGGTGTGGAAAAAAGCCGTATCTGCAAAGGATCCCAGGGACACACAAGTGGATACACACAGATCCCAGGATCCCCTATGTCCTCGTATAGCTTCTTGATCTTCGTATCCACCCCCTCTCCCCATGTTTCTGGAATTCGGCGACTGTTTGTGCTTCCCTCCTGACATCATTTGTCTGAAACCGATCGTTCTCTCAAATTCGCGTCCGCGGCGGCACCGACAGCGTGTCCGTCCGCATGCCGAGACGTAGCGCAGACGGACGGCACGGCTTCAATGTCTGATGGGATCCCTCCTCTGCAGCTGCTATTATCGGCGGTGGACAAACCTCCCTTTAGTAAATCGCCCCTTCGTGAAAACGGCCCAGGACCGAAACCGACGGACCTGGACCCGCAAAAAGGACGGCCGCGACGCCCTCTCGCGAACCGAAAACGGCCAATTCGCTAATCGACGTGTCAGGATAGGAGGTCGGTCTATCAACCTCCGACCTCTGCAGCTGCTATTGACTACCTACCAGACCTCCCCAACCCAAGCCGAAGACCCGAACTTCGCCCGAATTTCGGGTTGGGGGGGGTACGGGCTTCATATGGGTTTTCTAATGTTCCCCGACCCCCCCCCACTGGAAATGAAGAGCAAATCGGGGCCTTCTGGTTGGGTTGGGGTGGTTTGGTGGGCGGTGAGCTATTACGTACACTCGTTCACCAGGCATGGAAGCACGGAGCCCAACTGGGGAAAAGCAGTGCACGTAGTACAAGTCCGGCACGCGGCGCCAGTGCTCACATCCACTGGGGACCCAGTGGAGCCCACGAGCTCGGCTGTGTATCTTCGAAGGGGCCCAGGGACACGCTGATAAGTAGACACGAATCCCAGAATTCCCACTGCTTTGTCATGTGTTCTGGGCTTTCGTCTTCGCCCCCACTTCCCCTAAATCCCACCAGCCCTTTGGGCGTGCCGCTTCGAAATTGACAGGAACTGCTGTCGGTCTTCATCCCCATTCTTCCCGCACCCATTTCTCGGCGGCGCACCGAAGGGGGAAACAAGAGGAGGCAGGCCTTCTCAAAGGCGGCGGGGCTTCTCAGAAGCCCCGCGCGCCTTCCGAGGAGCCGACCGTGGCCTCGGAAAAAGGCTCAGAAAGCTCCTCTCAAAGGCTGCAGGCCTCCTGAGCCTCCCGAGGAGGCCCGGCCCATCTGCACTCCCCTCCCTGGGCTGAGGTCGGGCATGTCCCCCTACAGGCGGATGTTGGACGAAAAAAACAATCGAAAAAAATCGTCCCCAGACTATGTTGGACCACTTTCGAATATTCCCCCATGTAGAGGGACAGGCCCGACCTGACCCTGGGAGCGCGCCGCCGAAGCTCGACGGCAACAGTCCCCTCGGAGCAGGGCGACTCGGGAGCCAACGGCAGCTCGAAAAAGTCGGTCCCGGGGCCCCTCCCCAGGGGTCCGAAAGCGCACCAGCTTCCCTAGCGTTGTGGATGCCATGACCATGGACACTCCAAAGATCCGATCATTGAATCAAAAATGTGCTTAAACTGTGTAAATCATGTTCGAAAATGCATCAAACATGTTTCAACATGTGTAAAACATGATTGATTGTTTGACGTCTGGAAACTATTTGGCAGCACGCTTCCTCTCCATTCATCGACTTCCACAACCCTAGCGGCGTCCAGCCGCGGCGACGAGGGCCCCCCCCCGAAGGCCCACGGCCGTCGTCTCCGCTCGCCTCCTCGTCGTTGCGCTCTGGAGTCTGGGCCGCAGCTCGGTCGGCACGCCGCCGCTCGGAACGACCTTCCTCCTCCTCCTCCTCCTCCTCCTCCTCCTCCTCCTCCTCCTCATCCTCCTCCTCATCCTCCTCCTCCTCCCCTTCCCCTCCTCCTCCTCCCCTCCTCCTCCTCCTCCTGTTCCTCCTCCCTGTTCCTCCCATCCCCTTCCTCCTCCTCCTCCTCCTCGCCTCCTCCCTCCTCCTCCTCCTCCTCCTGCCCTGCCCTCCTCCTCCCTCTTCCTCCTCCCTCCCTTCCTCCTCGTCCTCCTCCTCCTCCTCCTCCTCCCCCTCCCCCTCCTCCTCCTCCTTCTCCTCCTCCTCCACCTCCTCCTCGTGGTCGCCGTCGTCGTCCCCGTTGCGGACGGCGCCGTCGCCGCCGTCGCCGTCGGCGTCGTGGTCGCCGCACCCGTGGAACGCTCTCGGCGAGGCGCAGCTGCTGGAGAGCAGCCCGCGGCCGGAACACATCCAGGAACCCACAGAGGCGCCAGGAGACGTCGAGCTTCCCCCCTGAGCGCGCCGTCGAAGCTGGATCGTACCAGCCCACTGAACATCGCGAGACTGAAACCGCTCCCTCACCATCCCCACAGGCGTGGCCTGGGCCCCACTGACCGATTAACCCTTGTACAATGTTATACCACATCACAGCGCGCTACCAGCAAGCTACACAACATTGCTCCTACAGTCAGAGTTTTTCCCAAAGTACAATACACATGGTGAAAAGAAAGATGCACAGTCTCACTAGGTGGGCTACAGAGGACCGCCCTGTCACGAGCATTCCCAGGAGGAGAAGGAGGAGGAGGAGGAGGAGGGCAAGGGGCGCGACGAGGAAGAGAGAGAGGAGGCAGAAAGGTGGAGAAGGAAGGAGGGCGATGCAGAAGAGGGGGAGGAGGAGGAAGAAGAATATGAGGAGAAAGACGAGGAGGAGGAGGAGGAGAAGACGGAAGAGAAGGAGAAGTGCCATGGCCCCATGGGCATGGGGATGAGGCGAAACCACACCGACCCGACCGGCGGGGCAGCCCGCCGTGGACTCCGCCGACGGCTCCGCGGCCGCCAGCAGCGACGGGCCGCGCGTTGGCGGCGCGGCAACGGTATGGCGGCCAGCGGGCACCTGGCGGGGCGGCAGGGCTTCGGCCACCGGTGGGATGATGATGATGAGGAGGAGGAGGAGGAGGAGGAGGAGGAGGAGGAG